TTGTTACTGAGGGATAGTAGAGCTATGCTTGTGTGAGAGGTGGACCTTTAGGGTTTAAGTGGCTGTTCATCCATCCTCATGATCCTCACTTGCCCTAAGGCAAGTGGCCCACAGATCTGAACTCCTCTGATCTGGAGAACTTCCCAGTCCACCAGGGTTCTATGGATCTTGTCAAAATATCTCCCAAGAGGACCATATGAGGAGTTTGTTAGACTATATCCACTCTACTCTCCCCTGATTAAGAATATAGCTGTTGACTACTTAGTGGTTATTTCACTAGTAAGCAGCAACCAATGTCAGAGCAAATTTTAACCAAGTCCAAGTTATCATTCTTGCCAATTTTCAAACCCAACTCAAATGTTGTCATGAGGCCCTGCCATTACCGAGTCACCATTGTCAAAGCCATGAGAACAACTTTATCCTACACCAACTACTGCCTAAGGTGAATGGTTCTCCACCCTGGCTAGACGTTATCATCACCTAGGGAGCTCTTAAAATCCTCATGCCCAAGTAAGCAGCATCCTAACTAAATCAGAACTGGAGGGGGGGGGTCACTCTTTTAAAGGTCTCCATAGGTAATTCCAAATGTACTCAAAGTTGAGAGAACTGCTATACGTAGGGCCTTCCATCCTACTCTAAGAGGTGCTAGGATGACCAACTCTTAACTTTCTTAGATTTAGCAGTGAATGTCCCACATCCCAGCAACCATTCAGTCCCAAGAAAACCAGGACAAATTATCAGCTCAGTGTTAAACCCAGTTTGTCAACAATTAGATTTCCACCAAGATTAAAGAAGACTCTTTATTCTTCACCTAATTGTAATTGATGAAGCATCTCAAATCAAACTCCATTATTTCTCACCCATACCACATGTGTTCTCTATTCTACAGCTCATTCCCCACCAAAAAGACTCAGAGGAAAATGTCTAAGACCCAAGAGATACTGATTTGTGAGCAGAGAAATTACCTGAAAAAGTTAAAAGTGAATTTCAATGAACATTTATTAAAAGCCTACTAGATGCCAAGCACAGTTTCAAATGCTGTGGATCAAAGACGAATAAGAAGAAAAGCTCAGAGTGTTCACAGTCTGCTAGCACTGTAACAGCCAAGAGAGAAAAAGGAGAGGAGCAACCAAAGGAAACAGAAAGAAAATGAAGTAAATTTAAAAATAGGCCAGGAGGATAAGTTTGTACATTTGATACTATAATTTTGAACTTTTACATTGGTAGTAAAATAGGATACATATCTGCTCAAAATAAAAATGTAATTCTAGGGAAACAAAGATAGGAATTCCCACACATAATATTTTAAATCATATTTCTTCACATAGTACTTCAGAAAATGTTTTATTTCTAAATTTTAAAAACTGGAGCTGATGAAATGATTCAGAACCACATAAATCTCCTAGAAATCCAAGGACAATGACCACTAGAAAGCCGAGAGTACATCTGAGCTAAAGGAAGCTATTTGCCTTGTGAGTTTGTCTCCATTTTGAAGTTTTTGCTCATTATGAGTAACCCTCTCTTGTGTAAATCACTTAAGAAAAGCAAAAATAAGAATAACACATATGGTGGATTACTACAGGTCACGGCACATTGAATAAGACGCAGAAACAAACAGTGAAGAGTAAAAGTAATCTCGAGACTTCATAAGAAAATAGAATATAGGGGCCTCCCTGGTGGCACAAGGGGTTAAGACACAGTATTCGGAAGCTATCCAGAGCCACTGCAGTACTAGTTCGATCCCCGGCCAGGGAGCTGACCCACATGGTGCAGCAGACCTCTCCTGTCTCACCCACTGTTCCCCTCAGCAGGTGTTTCAGTCAGTCTGCCTGTTCTGCTCCCCACTCTGTCTCTGGTGAATCCTCTCACCACCACACCCTCCCACACCTCCAGCCTGTATCCCCGTTCTTGTATGCATAAATAAATAAATCTTTTTAAAAAATAGAATATTGGGCCTCCCCGGTGGCGCAGCGGTTGAGCGCTGGGTTGCGAAGCTGCCCGCAGCCTCTGCAGCGCCGGTTCGATCCCCGGCTGCTCCTCGGCCACCAGAGGAGGGTCCCACATGGCGCGCAGACCTCTCCTGCCGCCCGCTGCTCCCCTCTGCAGTGTACTTCGGTCCTTCTGCCTGCTCTGCTCCCCGCTCTGGCTCTGGTGAATTCTCTCACCCTCCCGTGCTTCTGACTGTACCCAGTGCATGTATAAACAAAACAAACAAACAAACAAATAAATAAATAAAACATGCCTCTATTAAAAAAAAAATTAAAAAAAAATAGAATATTGCCCACTCTTAAGTAAAATCAAACATCGGCAAATAGCTGGAAGAAAGGTTCAGAATTCATTCTAGAACATTCTCAATTACCAGGCAGAATTAAGATTGTCCATTTTGGATAAGTTTAAGTCTTGTTATTTTTTTCTATGTCTCCCAGAGAAGGAAATTATAGGCTCATTCAGCCTTTGTTTTATTTTTTAAACCAAATCAGAAAGGCTCAGCAGCTCTCCCTTTTTCCTGCCAATAAATAATAAATAAATAAATAAATAAATAACTCATTACTTAAAGATATCTAAAGCTATTTAAGTTCTATTTTCCCTTTTATTTCTTATGAAATATGTATAAAAGAAAAAAATGAGCGTTTTTAACACTTTATATTAGAACTCCAAATGACCAATCAGATCAGTTACTAATTCAGTTTAAACAGGAAGCATTCAGGCTAAGGCTTCCATGAGCGTGCAGACGCTGACGTGTATCAGCTTGCAATGACAGATGTTTGAGTTTTGTGAGCTTGTGAGTTCACGCTGATAGGGTGATGTTGCCCTGGGTGGAGTATTTAAACCACAGAAAGTGGCAAGGGCTTCAAATCAGGACATTTTTTTTTTTTTTGAAAGCTCAGCATTACACATTTACTAGCACACCACTTATTCTAGCTTACCGCCTATCTTGAAAGTGTTAAAAGAGTCAGAAATATTTTTTTAACAAAAGGTGAATTTTGAATCAGAAAGTAAGAATCTCAAGTATAACCATGAATGAAATGGCCCAAGGAACACAGAAAATACAAAATTTTTCCTGCCATAGTGAGGGACTATGAAGAAACACAACTGCTCTCTATGTCAGCTCAAAATAGATCCTTCTTTAACAAGGAGATTCACAAATAAAGCCAGAGATTGGACTGAGGTCGACACTCTGGAGGCACACAGAGAAAGCATGATGAGGGTTAGGGCACCTCTAGTTCCTAACTGCACCAAATCCATGCCTTGCCTCGTCTCAATCAGATCAGGGGGACCACATATGGGTGTCCAGCACAGACAGGACACATTCACGTTGATATCTACCCAGTTTCACAAGTAGAATGTCTGCTCTCTCCACAGCGCCCCAATGATGCCCTTCATGAGGTGTAAACACAAAATATGATTCCAAAGTGTTTCCACTCTGTCATAGCAAAGTGAACCTGAAGAGAAAAAATAAATAAATAAAAGCAGTTGCTTGTTTGCCATTCTCAAGGTGATGTTCAAGGTAAAAGATTTTCTATTTTTGTTCATGCTTTGTAAGCATGAACACAAAATTGCTGGGAGTCCTGACTGGTAGGTTTCTGTTTGTTTTTATCCAAACCTGTTACAACAACAGCTTCCTATTTCTGACGCAGGAATATGCTTTCTGTGTCCAGTGCTTCTCTCCTAATCTTTCACATCCCTTTTTGTGACAGACTAAAGTGAAGGAGCAGCAGGTCAACCTTTCATTGATTTAGCAATGCTTCCCTCGGTTTGAAGAGGTGGAGAAATGTTTCCTGTCCCTTATGAGGCATAAAGGTAGAAAATTGAGTTTTATAAAAGGCTGTCCATGTGAATACTTTCCTCGGCCTGCCTGGGCTCTGATTCCCTGCACTGTCTGCTCATTCACAGCAACCCTGCTCCCTCCACAGTCCCAACCAGATTCTGACACCAACGTCAGACCTCCAGTGCCCCAGGGGAACAGATGACCGCCTGAACCTTCTCCAACTCTGATATGCTGCCCCGGGCTGCCAGGTCCTGGGATCATCCTTCTTATCTCACCTAGTCTCTGACATCTTTGGATTCTTGGATTTCTTTAAATGCTTCATATCTGGCATAAATACCTTCTCTCTCTTCGTTCCCAGCAGAATTTGCTATGAATATCCCTATGCTGCATTGAAAGAAAATAGAGAAGGAAGGAAGCAGGAAGAGAAAAAGAGAGAAGGGAGGAAGGAAGGAAATGTCCAGTGACATTTTCTGTCCACACACTTCTGTGTGCCCATGAACTAAACCTTTTTTCATTTACTGCCTTTTTGTGCCCCTGTATTGCCAACATCATTCAGCCGTGGCAACACCCTTCAACACTACAGCCACACACCATTTGCAATTCCTCTACCTCCTAACAGTTTACGCTTTTCCCAAGATATTTTGCAGGAAAGGGAAAAAAGAAAAGGTTTCGAAAGAATTTTGTTCTGCAGCAGCCCTGGGAATTTTAAATTATGAGAAGCGCATTCAGACCATTGAACTACAGACAAATGACAAGCTTTGTTTTCCAAGAGGCCATTAAAAAATAATAATAACCTTTTAAAAAGGAAAGACAAAAGCATCACAGAACTAGATGTCACTAATAGCATTTCATCAATTCAAGATAAGTGGTACACTGGCCTCCAATCCCATCCCTTCATGAGATGACACTGATAACCTGATGCCAAAAGGGAGGAAGGAATAAATAAAACTACTATATCCCTGGACAATTCATACCCAATCTGGGAAAAGTAAAAGGAGAGCAAGATAGAAACTAGCTGAAAAATACAATTTATAAAAGGAAGAAGACTTCCTGGAATTCATCCCCACCAAGCCTAGGAATTGTAAAGTATAGGTTACTGGGTACTTTGAGGGCAGATAGACACTCATTTGCATTTGAAGGTATGCAAGAAATGACCAGCCAAAGGAGGCCTAATTAACTTTGCTTTCAAGTACTACTGTGATAATACATAATTCATTACCTTTGTCTCCATAACTTTTTTTTTTTTTGGTCCTTCTTTTGAGCAACAAGTTTTTTAACCCCTTATGGCTCATCAGGCTCCTGTGGGGGCTGCACAAATAACCAGGGGTGTGTAAGATGATCCTCAGGAATGCTGAAAAAATATTTGGACTTCCAATTTTTACGTATTTTAATCCTTAAAAAGAGAAAGAAAACAAGTCTTCTAATATGTGCTCTATGGATTAGCTCTGGCACCTCAGTCAGCTTAGATGTCCTGAGATGTTATGTAGTCAGATGTCACCTGGCTAGGACATGTATCCCGAGAAGAGGACAGATAGGAAAGATGAACACCCAGCCCTTACTTGTTCTTTTATTTTTTTTTTTTTGGCATTTTTCTCTATATTGGAATTTATGTGTGTCTAAGTAGAGACATGTATCACATATCATATTATCTAGTTTTAATCAAGAAAATTCTCACCAAATGTTCTAACAGATTTATGAATTTCTGCAAAGAAACAAACCTACTGTCAGCATTATGACTGAGGAGGACCCAGGGACACCAAACAGTTAAGGGGTGCATGCTCTAAAATGGTCTTGCCTCGGGCCTCCCTGGTGGCACAGGGGGTTAAGACACAGCACTCTGAAGCTATCTGTGATGCCTCTGCAGCACAAATTCAATCCCTGGCCAGCCAGAGTGCTAGCCACATGGCACAGCAGCCCTCTCCTATCTCACCAGCTGCTCTTCTCAGCAGTGTATTTCAGTCAGTCTACCTGTTCTATTCCCCACTCTGTCTCTGGTGAATCCTCTCACTCCCCACACCTCTGACCTGTACCCCAGTTCTTGTCTGCATAAATAAATAAATCTTAAAAAAAAAAAAGTGTCCTGCCAAGCACATGCACAAAGGCAATGGAAACAACTGTTAAGAGTGACAGAGTTTTAATAGAATTGGTGTGTGCAAAGAGGGAGAGAGAGAAAGATAAATGCAAGGATATTTCTAATGAAACTCCAAAACTTACCCATTCCCTCATGGGGAAATGCACAGCCAAACAGGCTTATCCCAAAGCAGAGCCACCGAGGCCAGAAGTCTCAAGTACCTTTTGGCAAGGAACCACAATAAAGGGATTAGGCAGGTCCCAGAGAGCCAGGACAAAAGAAAAGATTCAAAATTCAAAATGTACTATATAATAACCCCCATGAAGTCAGGATAATGGCTGCCATTGTCTCTGCCAAAGACCAGGAACAGCCTCCCCATATCTCCCACCCAGAGTCTCTCCCGAGCATCTCTTCCAATTGTCTCTACACATCTTTTCCTTGATACGTCTTGTCCCAGGTCTGCTTCATTCTACCTCCCTTTTTATATCCACCTTGGTCCTTCCCAGCTGCTCCCCATTCAGGGAGTTCACTTCATGGCATACAGAGACTTATAGTCCAAGGTGCCTGCACATAAGTAGGGGCAGAAAAAATGGTATTAGTTAGAATACCATTAGTTAGAAAAAATGTTATTAGTTCAATGCTCCTCCTACTTACATGGAGGTGTATCTGTAACAATACTAATAATACAAATGCAGGTAAAAGTATAAGAAGATGCATTGGCAAAGCTCACACTTCTCCAGTACACATTCTGTCAGCTACGTAATTAATCCAACTCTTTAAGGTAAACTAGATGTTTTAACAATAAGCAAGAAAGCAACTGCTTTTCAAAAGAGATTCATGTATGAAAAGAGCATTGTGAAAATGAATGTTTGGAAATCTTTATATCATTGTATAATTTTGTTGAAGAAAACAATGTTAAGTACATTGCTATAAACACTCTCCTATTTGAAGACTGTTTTTAAATCATCCAAATGGGGGCCTCCCCGGTGGCGCAGCGGTTGAGCGCTGGGTTGCGAAGCTGCGCGCGGCCTCTGCAGCGCCGGCTCGATCCCCGGCTGCTCCCCGGCCACCAGAGGAGGGTCCCACATGGCGCGCAGACCTCTCCTGCCGCCCGCTGCTCCCCTCAGCAGTGTACTTCGGTCCTTCTGCCTGCTCTGCTCCCTGCTCTGGCTCTGGTGAATTCTCTCGCCCTCCCGCGCTTCTGACTGTACCCAGTGCATGTATAAACAAAACAAACAAACAAACCAGCAAACAAATAAATTAAAAAAGCATGCCTCTATAAAAAAAAAAAAAAATCATCCAAATGGAAAGTTCCAGTGGGTTTAAAATGCTTTTGTTAAAAACATTAAAATGCATTACCTTCAAATCAGTTTTGCAGAAACATCTGATTAAGATGACAGAAAATGGAAATTTGCTAGTCATATTTCAATGAAAACCATTGCAAGATGAATTCTGGGTTGGAAATTGGCTAATATGATTAAGTTGAGTCCAAGATGAATCTCCTCTATACTTGAATATTTTTGAGAAATAGTTTTCAACTATGACAATAATTGAAAACCAAGTCTCAAAACAAACTTCAATTTGAAACACACCTCCCAATTGCGTCATTGCAAAGTCTAAAAATTAATAAAACACATCCAAATACTTTGTTCTTATTTAAAATCGATAATATTGTATTATGATTTCAGAACAGTAATATTTTAACAAAAGCAAAACTATTTTGTGACTATATGCAAAACATCATTTCAAGCTGTGTATGCTTATGTCATCCTTTTTAATTCTTTTATTAAGTGTATGTTTTATAATAAATAATTACAACTACTGTCATCCATGTATATAAGTGATAAATATATGTATATTGTGGGTGTAAGCTCAAAAATATTTTACTGATAAAAGTGCAATGGCAAAAAGTTTTCTGACAACTGGTCTGCAAAGGCTTTTGTACTGATGAGAATTAGTTCCCAACACATTATGGTGCTGACTGTATACACCAAATAGCAAATGCCTTTTGGTAAAAAAGACAGTAATAAAAACATATTCAAAGCAATGCTTCAATAAAGATTCAGTTAGGAAAAATAAGGTGTATGAAAATATAGACCACAAAATATATGCTTTAAGTATTCATATTCATCTTAGAATCACAACTGGAGGTCTATGGTGGTTCCAGTGCTCCGTTTTGAATGCTTTTTGAAAAGTTGGGTATGACTAAAGTATGATTTCAATTCAAGGTCCCTAGAACCATTTAACTGCCTTCCACCTTAGAGTGAAATTTTATGTTCACAGATGACATCAATATTTATGATAATGAAAACACAATTTATTCATCCACAAAAGTTTTATTAATCTTTATGTCACATCAACATGCTCCAGTGGGTTTCCCACTTCAGAGCCAAAGCCCAAATTCTTAGAGTTGCCTACAAGATCCTCTGGTCTCACACCTTGCTCACCTTTCTGCCCTCAGTCACTGGGCAGCAGCTATACACTGATCTCCTTGCTCTTTCTTGGAACATTCCAGATCCATGCCCACCTCAGGCTATTCCATGAGCTGAGAAGAATTTTTTCCCTATTGACTCCCTTCATCACCAAATTCAGGTCTCTACTTAATTGTCACCTTTCCAGGGAGGACTCTCCTAAAGCCACCCTGTAACCCCTATCTCCTCTCTTACTGTTCTCTTTAACTTCAATCACCATTTCAAATAATACATAATTACTTTCTCTTTTTTATTTAGCTACAAGGGAAGATTTTTGTGTTTTACTCACTGCTGTGTCCCCAGCACCTAGGACAATACCTGGAACATTGTATAGCAACACCTTTTGAATAAGTATTCCTCTTAAGAAGAAAACTGAAGATTCATTTCAAAATGCTCAGGATAAGAAAAAAAAATCTGCATTAATCTATTCAATATTTATCATGAACTTACTATGTAAAAGTCACTATTTTTGATTGTTGAGGAACTACAAAGATGAACAGAACTCCCTTAAGAAGTTGATGATGCGAGGCTTCCCTGGTGGCACAAGGGGTTAAGACGCAACTTATGAAGATGTTTGCAGCCTCTGCAGCACAAGTTTGATGCCCGGCCAGCCAGGGAGCAACCCACATGGCACAGCAGACCTCTCCTGACTCGCCTGATGCTCCTCTCAGCAGTATATTTCAGTCAATCTGCCTGTTCTGTTCCCCACTCTGTCTCTAGTGAATCCTCTCACCCCACCCCCAACACCTCTGGCCTGTCCCCCAGCTCTTGTATGCATAAAAAAAAATCTTTAAAAAAAAAAAAAGTTGATGATGCAGCATGCGACTCAAACACATAGTTATAACAGATGTTAAGGGCCACTGAAGAGTTGCTGGGGAGTGTTGAGAACCCATGTCTAGCTATTTAGGGAGGGAGGGAAAGTCAGGAAAGTGGAATATCAGAAATGACTTTAGAGAAGAAAATATTCTAACTCTCCAAGTTAAAATTTTGTCCATGACTTTAAACAAGTCACACATTACAAGGTATGATTCATTTTCCTCCAAGGAAAATGAAAACTGTTTCAGTTTTTCCCTCTTACCACGCCACAGAGGTAAACAAAATGAATTTATAAATATATTTGTCCTTAAGGAAGTTAGAGCTCCTTATGAAACTAGGAATCATTAGATTTTTAACAAAGGATTTTTAATCCAGATACTAGAAAAAAGTGATCCATCATAGCAAGGGGACATTGTCACATCAGAGATGAGTAAGTATGACCTATGGTGACAGGGATGCACCCTGCCTGAATGGGGGAAGAAAATGTTTATTGATTTTTGACACCAATAGTTTCCTTCAACAAATGCCACATTCTTGACAGGTCTATGTTTCTTATTGTCATTTTGCCACTTAAAGAGGATAACAAGGAAAAGTCAAAATCCCATGAATCTCTATTAATCTTTGTTTCAAACATCACCCAACAATTGGGACATCAGATGTAACATCTTTCCGGATTTTCCCCCAAGCACTCATATCCTTTCATACCAAATGGGAAAAGAGATACAAATCCAGGATTACCAGACTTATACTTTCTAGCATTTTTATCTCATTCTACTATTATATATTTGTGATCATAGCACCTGCTGATTCTGAAGTACCAAAAGAACAGGTTCAAGAGCTCTTGCAACTATTTAGTTGCTGGACTAAAATAGGTACCTGGACAGAAAAGACCTCTACTTAAAAGAGAAAAGCAAAAATATCTTCTATGCCATTAGAAATGCGTCGCCTTCCAGCAACAGGGTGATGGTGGGGCAGTGGCGGGTAGGATGGCAACCGTAGGCACTTTGAGGTTAAAAGTGGTGTGTGTTCTTCATTACTGATGGTTTATGTCAAATATGGCATCAAAAAAGGACTTCCCAGGAGCCCTAAAAGGATCATTTCTTTATACTAGTACAAATAGTTGTCTGATGATGAGTGAGAACCAGCACAGGGAATGCCAGCATTATTTTCATATCGGTGAGGTAGGAGAGGTAGGATTGAATTTCAGACCCCACACAAATATTTTATTTATAAATAAAAGTTTGAAATGGCATATGAAAACAAACTTGTTAAAGGTAGGAAACTCTTCCTATTATAAATAAACATCCACAGCTTTTAATCAAGTATAAAATCATATCTCCTGCTTGAATAATTTTCTTAAGCAATTAGAATATGCAAATCAATGAAGGAAAAATATCTTAGGGGTAAATGCTTTGATTATATGACAAGGATCTTTATCAGCAGTTATGAATGTCACTTTCTACAAATGTCCTTCAGAAGAAGGGCAGAGATAAATGCTATGCAGACCACCACGAAGCTCAAAAGAAATCCATTTAGTTTGCCAAACTCTTTTGTAACCAGGCTCATGTTCCTACTTTCTTATTGATTCAGAATCAATGAAAAGTTTATTGCTTGATTCAGGATGTCCTTTTGGACAAACTGATTTTCAGAGCCAAGGAGTTAATCTTCATGTTTTACATGATACTCAAGAGGTGCATTATTAAGCAGGTGGTGTGCATTTCATTTCCAGGAGAAGATAGACATCTCCACAGGGATGAAGGAAGAAGAAGAAGATAAGATCTTCATTTCATTGTCGATGAAGTGAATATCCTGAATAGATACTCCGAAGCAGTCTAATGACACAGCACAGGTCACAGCGGAAATTTGAAATATTCTGAGTTACTATGGAAGAGGATATTCAAACCTGCTACTGCTTATTTTCTCATTTTGAAGAGTTTTTATATCATTTCTCCAAATAGAAAAATGCTCCTTGTCTCTCCCCTACCACTCCTTCTAAACTGTGTACATTATTCAATAAATCTAGCAATTCCAGCTGAGCATAGTCATTCTGGCCCCAAACAAGCATCTGAATTTTGTTACTGTCCACAAATAGTGTCCATGAAAACATGCTTCCACTCCCACACTCTACACCTCTTGCCAACTCAGAGGCAAGGCCTTGACACAGCCCCCAGCATAGACCACAGGAACTGCAACCCAGACTGAGGTGAGATTATTCAGAAGCACTTAAAGAATTCATTTCATTCTGAAAAGCGGACCTCAGTCAGAGTTTAGAATCAAATGTGGGGCATAACACTAATAGAAATAAAATCTGCAGCCTGAGGAAATACCATGATCAATTTTTATTGAAATCCTCTACTAGCTGAAGTCTAGCTTTCTTTTGGTTTAGGTAAATGTCCTTCAATTCTTAAGACCTATGAAATTTGCCCCTATTATGGCTGATCTATTCCATGGTTAAAAGAAAATGTCCGACCTTGGAAATTGCCAACCAGAAATTCTCAAACTCACAAAGCACACCTTGAAAAGAATGCAATGCTTAATATCTCAATTTCTCTACACTTCCCTTAGAGAAAATTCTCCCTGTCATCACCCTATTCCTTACCCGTTTCATATGCAAAAACCAAAAGGCTAAGCTCATATTAAATTCTAAGACCCATAGGTGGGAAAATACCTCAATAAATTTCTCTTGGTTAAAGCAAAACAACACAAAAATTTTCTTGCATCAATGAAAGCACAGGAGAAGAAAACTTGAGCCAAACAAAATGGTCCTCCCCTCACTCAATCAAGGATTTTTGTTAAAAATCCATTATTTATAAACAAAACATACCCACAGTTCTTACCTGCTGCCAGAGAAGGAAATGGTATTTTAAGTTTCAATCCTGTGCATTTTCCTTAAGAAGTGATACCTGCTGACCAGAGAGAAGAATTAGCTATGAATAGCCAATAAATATGATTCTATGAACTTTAGGGCCCCAAGTGGACCATTATTTTACCAATGAGCTAGCTTTTTAAGCAGGATGGATGAGTGCATGGGCACATTAGAGATGCCAGCCTGTGGTCGTTAACTGTCTGTGCATCTCCCTCCGAGACACCAGGTAGCAAAATAAACTGCAGCCCCATAAGCTGAGGCCTTAAATGATGAAAATTAGTTTCAGGTGTCGCAATGAACAATGCCCTGTTTTACACCCCACCCTGAACACCAACTGCACCTCCCTTCTCCCTTCTCCACTCTCCCATCTCCCCTCCTCTCTCTCTCTCTCCCTTCTTTCTAGGTAATCTTTCCTCCTGTCTCTGCTGCTCATTCTTTCTGTCTCCATCTGTGGAAGAGGGCTGAGGCAATGAAGAAGAATTCCATCTTTCTCCTTCTGTCTCCTGCCTCTAATCTCTCTTACCCTGTTTCTATCCCTCAAGTCTCTCTCCTCCCTCTGTCTCGCTTTGGGATTTCAATTTGGGTTTTCCTGTTTTGCAGGGAACAGTACTGATTTTACACTCTAAGAAATGAGAGAAAACAGCCAGGCATGGAGCTCTCTGGGAGTGAGTCACTATCGTTCCCAGTGGCTTTATTTGTCTTCTTTATAAGTCTCCTTGCTGCCCACAAAAGTGCCAAGTTCCTGATAAATGGGACAGCAAGGTGTCACATTTTTTCCCCTCTAAATGCAGAGTAAACTTTCACAGCCTTGCTCCACTGTGCTGAAAAATGAAACTATAACTACATGCTGGAAGGTCCTTAAAGAATTCCTTTCTAGGCATAGCCCCGAAGCAGCTTCCACATGGCTAAACAAGCACTTCGAAGGAAAAATATTTATCCTTATAAAATGATTTCCCACAAGAAAACTTTGGTTGACAGCTACCTTTTCCAGAATCCTAGCTACACAACTGACACTAGAACCCTTACCTGTGATAAGAAGTCTATCAAAGAGAAGCAATGAGAAGCCCTTCCTAGGGTGCACTGAGTCCTGCAGACCTTCCTATTACCATGGCCAGCACAGTATAAGCAATAAATGTGTATTGGTAATGATGAGGCCTGTGTTTTATGGCCTAAAGTCCTGCAAAGACTAGAGTCCTGACCTACCCTTTCTCTTCTCAGAATGTTATTAGTTCTAGAAAACACTAGAAGTTTTCTTATAGGTTTCAATAAGCCAACACTGTCAAACATAAGAGTCTCTTTCCACAATTGTATTTCACTCCCATAGGCCCTGTTGCTTCAAACCAGTGATTTTTTTTGTGAACGTTTTATTGGTACACAGCCACACCCACTGGCTCACATACTGTCTAGAGCTGCTTTTGTGCTGCAAGAGCAGAGCTGAGTAGTCACCACAGATATTGCCTGACACTTTACAGAAGTAATAGACATGCCTGCTCTAAACAACAGAACACCTGATGGCAAAACCAATAATTGCTGTCACTCACTGAGCATTTACCATAAGAAAGTGTTATGGATTACCTTACTTAATTCTCACAAAAACCTTACGAGTTAGGCATTTTTATTATGATCATTTTAAGAAAGAAACCAGGCAGATGTATCTGTATATTAAATCACCAAAATGTATACTTTAAAGAGCTTATAATTGTATACTTCAATTATATTTCAATGAGGTTGAAGTGAAAGAAGGAAACAAACTAGGTACCTTGTAAGAGGAGGCAAAAGCCAAAACCAGACAGGCTGGCTCAAGAGCCCATGTTAGTAACTACTTCTCCAAACTGTTTCCAGATTAAGGGAGACTAATGTCCCAGCAGGCAAGAAACTCAACAGTAGAACATAGTGCAAAACAAAGAGTGTCTTTTTTTAAAACCAAAGAAATTAAGACCAAAGAGTGAGCAAGGATTTAGACTATGAACTAGGATACCAGACTGTCAAATTTTACCCAAGTTTAACTTTTAAATGGCTATATAGATTCCTAACATGAAGTCTAGGAAAGAGAGATCAACTAGCTGGGTACTGAATAACCATTAAGTGAGTGGCTAGACAGGATGGAGTAACACTAGAGTATCTCACAGACCCAAAGGCAGAATTGAATGGCCAAGAACTAGGAAGAGTAGGGCTCAGGGTAAATCCAGGGATCTCAAGAGGAGAAATTAGAAATTAGATCGCTATTGTCAATATGATTCAGGCCCAGCAACATTCAGTTTCTGGTTATTTCCATACCCTGTTTCAAATTCCAGGGAAACAAAAACAGCATTAGGCAACTCTTGCTCTTGTATAAACCCCAGATCTTCAAATAACATCATTTCACTCAATGTCATTTTGATATAACATTGATGAGGAAAAAAGAATCCCAGCCCATATTAAAGGAAACCTTTCTCAAGGACCTGGCTCTGTTATATATTGTCCTTTTGCTTAAAGTCACAGTTTCCCAAAACATGTTGACATTAAATGAGTACTCACTGAACCTCTACTAGAGGCTACACATTAGAATCACTTTGGGGATATTTTATAGCAAACCAACTGTGGAGTCTCACCTAAGATCAACTGGGGTGAAGACTTGGGTGAACTCAAGATTCAGTGATTATGGGAAGTGGTACTTTCTCCTGTAGGTCTGGCCATCTCACAAAACCAACTAGAAACAGAAATGAGAGAATCTCAGGGCTAGTGTCCTCCAGCGACTCTGGCCTTTTCAAATACAGGAGCTAGTAAAAGCATCACTATAAACCCCAGATCTTCAAATAACATCATTTCATTCAATGTCATTTTGATAGAACATTGATGAAGAAAAAAGAATCCCAGCCCATATTAAAGGAAACCTTTCTCAAGGACTGGTTCTGTTATATATTGTCCTTTTGCAATATATTAGGTTATTTCTCACTTGCAAAATGCAGGCCAAAAAATACTCATCTCTGTGAATAAGGCACTTTTACTAATCTACATCATGCCATGGAAATCAGATCCAACAAATGAATCAACATATTCCAAGTGCCCACTCTACATGGAGACTTGTCCTGCTCTATAATCATTAGACTCCCTGGAATGCTGTAGAAACAGAGCATGAGAGATTTCAACTTAGTAGGCTAACAATGTTTTTCCTTTTTGTCTGGTTTCTTTCTATTAAGAAATGGGTTTTCAAGCAAAACTACAGAAATCTGTGTTTGGGGAAAAATTTTAAGGATGGTTATCTTGGGCATTAACATAGAATTAGGCCTCCTGATATGGGAAGAAAATTATTAATGTTTCTAAGACTATTTGTAGGAATGACTAAAAGGTAACTGAAGAAACACTTATAAGATTATCTACAGCTGCAAGTCATGATTTCTGAAGCAAATCAAACTTTCCATGCAAAATGCCATATCTTCAATAAAGCAGTGCAACCTTGAGGGGAGGCAGAGGGAGCAAGGTACTGACTTCAAAGGAGAACTTCTTACAAATTCATCCCAATCCCCAGGGGCCACTTTCTTCTAAATAAACTGCCTGATCTCCATGAAAAGAAATAAATCTGCACCCCAGTGATTCACCTCTTAGTACCATGGAAAGCACTTGCAAAATGCAAAAGAAAAGAAATTTAAATAATTAAGAGAATGAAAAACTACAGCCTCTTCTTCAAAACTAGGGAATTAGATTTTCAATTAGTTGATTCTGAAGCAACTACACTGTGCACGCAAAAGCTGCAACCATTAGTCCGGACTTTAATTGTTCAAGGCTTGTATAGATTCCCTGCTTTTGGTGCAGTTGAAAGAGGAGCTGTAGGAATTGAAACCAGAGTTTATCACTATATTAGGATAATTAAAGAAACCTCTCCAATGTGGCCTTAAAAAGGCAAATTCTGATAAAATTTATAAACAGACAGGCAAATGACGTTTGATGGTGATGATGAGTTGAACTAAAATGTAATGCTGACTCATTTTCCTCTGGAACTCAGAAGTGATTTTCTTTTTAACATTTGTATCTCAGACTATTACAGGCACTAGCAGCGGACATCCCTTGGCAGTAGTATATTATAGAGTAATTGCTTTGGTTGCAAACAGATTTTTTAGGTCTCAAAGAGCATAACTGCTCAAATCAACCAAAAAAAGAAACAGTTTTATAAATAGGAATGGCATCTTTTAAATTTATTTCTCCTAAAACAAGAATATTAACACTGTCATTGTGACATGATTGTCAAGAAGACATACACTCAGTCAACTCCCTACCATTCCAAATGGGAAAACCTTGTAAAGGATGAGCAGGGACCTTTTCAGAAAAGTGGAGAACCATTTAAAACATGCACGCGCGCACACAGACACACACACACACACACACACACACACACACATTTCTTGTATAACTAGCAAGAGGATTTCTGCAGCTTGGAAACCAAAAATAAAATTAATATATTGGTTGATACCCACAACAGCCTCTCAGGTGTCATCATTGAGAATTATTATTTTCAGCAGTTCATGGCTCATTTCTTTAAAATTAAAATTAGTGTTGTGGCACCCAAGGATAATTTTCCAGCTGTCTCTACAGAGAATAATATAAGCTTGGTGAGTTTAATGAATGGTAGTTTACTGCCAGTCAGTGTCAATGGAGTGGATGAGTTTGTATTTAACAGGAACTGGAATCACAGCCTTACCACTATGTCCTCATTAATATGAAATCCTTATAAAGTCATGTTAGTTGATAAATTATGCCCAGCATCTCAATTACCTTATCAAAGAAAATTATTACTAATGTTCAAGGAGGGGATAAGGGAGTGCAGGGAAATCAGGGCCAAATTTGCTGGGGTGAAATTGAACCCTTTGTAGATTGGCAGATCAGATCTGAGCTAGTTAGTATGAAATAAGTGACCCAAGTTAGCAGGAAAATTTGAAAATGTGGAGTCAGCATGGAAAACATGACTATATAAGAACTAGAACATGAAGGTCATGAAAGTCAACCAAAGGAGGTAACAGACCCAGCCACCACTTGGGACTAGCAGCAAGATC